ACCCTGGTGAGCCGCGTGCCGAACGTTGCTGACCCCTGCCTTATATATTTTTCTTTAATGCTTGACAGCACTTGTCCCACCACATTTTAGCAGCTCAACTATTACATTGTCTATTCCTGTAGCTTTCCCATTTTTAAGTGCTTCACTGCTCTTTCTATTTCTTTTTCTTTTTCTGATGGTGGTTCAGTGCTGATAACCATTTTGCCTTGCACTGTTCATCTAGCATGTCTAGACTGCTTGCAGCTGGCTGAATGGCAGGGTTCAACACTTGGTCAAAATGCTGCTGCCATACTTCCAGCACCTCTTTGGTATTTGTTGTCAGTTCTCCGGTAGTCTCTCTTACTGCATGTATTGCTGGTCTGACTGTGTTTCCATATAACTTAACCTTTTGGTACATTGTTTTAATTTTTTTTCTTGACCCTTCCTCTAGCTCTTGAACAACTTCTTTCCAGACCTTTTGCTTGTGCAATCTTTGTGATTTCTTCACTGCTTTCTGCAACACTTTCATTTCTTCAATCTTTCCAGCAGCCCCAGATTGTTTACACTTTTCCTGTAATGTTCTTGTTTAATTACTTGTCTAGCTTTTCCTTATCTGGTTATGCCTTCTAATAACTTCCTCCACCATATTTTGTATTGCTTCCTTGAACAGTACCAATCCAGTCTGTAGTGAGATTTCTTTATCATTGCAAATTAATGGACTGAATCACCCTCGAAGCATCATTCTTGTATACCTCCCTCAGAGAGCTAGCCTTTAACTATTAACTTTCCCATTAGTAGCTCATGATCACTGCCACACTCGGCACTCCTATAGACTCTAACATCCAACAGTGACCTTCTATGCCTCTTACTACTAATAATATGGTCAGTCTGGTTTTTGGTTGACCAAGGGATGTGCTGGCTGCTGCTTCCCACAGCCCCCATTGGCCTGGAACGGCGAACCGCGGCCAGAGAGAGCTGCGATCGGCTGAACCTGCGGACGCTGCAGGTAAACAAACCATCCTGGTCCACCAGCAGATTTCCCTGACAGGCCCCGTGCCAAAGGTTGCCAATCCCTGCTCTATGGTTTGGAAGCAGATATATTAAATGAAACATCAGAAGGCTGGCAGCAGTAGAGAGGAGAGTTCTTTGGATGATAGCAGGTGTAAAGTGGAATGATTTTTTAAAAAAAAGTTAGAAAGAGTATGATGTGAAGTCAGGATATGGAATTGACTGCAATGGAAAATATTATGATGGTGGGGACACTGTAGAAGACAAATAGATGATAGGATGCTAAAGAAAGTAATGCAAATGCAACCAAGGTCAGTCAGACCTAGAGGCTGACTACTGACTAGGTATCAGGACATCATATGTAGGGACATGATCAGGCTGGACTTAATGGAGGAATAAGCCATGGACAGGAATGAATGGTGGTGCTGTACTTTTCCCTGTGTCTGTAAAGATGCTTTGGAATGAGAAGATGTATTAAAGAAGGTGTGTGCAGGCCCAAATTTACAACTGGGGTTAAGAATTTTGAATGAAAAACTAGGAAATGTGGTGCACAGATACAAAAGCAGACATATTATTTTCAGTTCTGTGAAATGGAACACATATGAGGCAAGAAGTAAGTTCCTACATGAACTTTACAAGATATTTCACACAAATGGTATTACATTTTAAGCCTTGATGGACAAATAGGAGACATTCAGAATTCAGAGCTAAGTTAACATTTCCAATAACACAGTGGCCTTGATTTCTTTAAGTCAGTTTGGGAGTCCATGGAAACAAAAATCAGCAAGTGAGCCTTCTTAGGGGGGGCACTGCTAAGCTTTAACCATAGTTTGTGTCCATGATAGAAGTATTATAATTCATTTTCTAGTCACAGCAGTAATAGCTAGTCACAGCAGTAATAGCTATATTATAAATCTGTAAATTGTAGAGCTACAATTTTGCACACCTCGGCTGATAAAGTTATTGAAACAGGAATAAGTATACAAAGATAATGATCAGGATGCATGGCAGAGAGCAGACTACCCTTGAAACATTATTAACCGTTAGCCAGCAGGAGTTTTGATTTTTCCAGTGGGATGCTCTAATGCAGTTTACAGTTGTGCTAATGGCAGGAACTCTTGACCTGATGGTTTCAAGGGACTAAATACATACAGCTATGTTCAAAAACCACAATGTGACATTGTCAGGAAACTGAACTATGGCTCCGATTCCAGTCCCTAATGTGCACAATGGAAACCAGACACCAGAGTATTCGCCAGAACATTTCAATTTCCTGCTATGTCAGTTTTATTTTGCTATTTAAGCCTAGTTATTTGTACTTACACTGTCAACCCTTATGCTTATGCAATGAACATAGGAAAATTGGGCTGAAATCACCTGGGGAAAGGAAGCAGAGCACACAGAGGGCAAATGTGATTATATCCCCACCGGGAAGCACCAACAGGCCTGCTACGGCAACTGTACATTATCTTGGGTAGTATGTGAACTACAAGAGGTTGTGGATGGTGAGAGCAGTGGGGGAACAGCAGCTTTGTGGGACATGTTGCCTTCAAATTCCAGCGTATGTTACAGGATTAAAAACATGAGTTAATTCTTCTCGGATCAGACCTATGTGCTTGTGAACCCTACTGGAGGAGTTATGTAGGTACCTTTATCATTAATGGAGCCAGTGGCATCATGGGACTGGAGGCAGCAATGATGTCAATGAAAAGCTGGGAGCTGAACACAACCTGTGTGAGTACCTATGTTTGGCCAGAAAGTCGTGGGGTTTATGAAACAATCTTTGACTGTTATATAGTTTCCATGCCATGCCTCACGACTGTTCCATGCTATCAGTGAGCCCAGTGCAACCAAGGTACCATTGCAGTCATTTTTAGCAGCCACATGAGTTATAAAGTTTTTGATTTATATTTTTCTTCCTGAAGAAACGGAACATATGGCAACTTGATTTTTGTTTTATGAGGCTGCAATAAGCCCCGGAGCACTTAAGCATATACACAACAATATCAGAATGGAAAAAACAAAAAACATAGATGAAGGCTTTTTACAGAAGTCAGAGAGGGCAAAAAATCAAAGACATTTCCACTGCTCATGTCCTTCCTCAGGTTGAGATTACAACCACAACAGTGAAGTGGTTTTTGCACTCTTTAAAATAGTAAGCCATGAATCCTCCACTTAGCTATCTGACCTTCTACATCTAAGTCAGTGAAGTTATTATTAAAACTTCATCCAGATCTTTACACAGTATCTTCAAGATGAACTGCAAAGTCAAAATGAAAGAACAGAGTTGTGCTACTTACTGGTTCTTTATGACAACAGAGAACCTTAAAGTTTAATTTTTTACTATTCAAGATTTTTTTGTTTTTTTACATTAGGAATATCAGGTCTTGGCTTTCCTCTTCTTGCAGGTTGACTTTGGCAGTCTTTAAAGGACAAAAAACATGACATCACAGGACAATGAAACCTGAGCTGCACCTCAAACAGTCTCCAACTGAGGTGACATGGATGTTGAGTCAAGCTAGGAGAGTAATTGCTAAATAATGATAAGTGAAAATCAGAATTTCCATTCCATCTGATATTTCAAATGTTTTGGGGGACAATTTGGTATTCAAGTAATTAATTCACACATATTCCAAGATCATATATTTAAAATAGAAGACACTGTATAAGTACTAAAAATTAATATAAGACACTCAAAAGTATATATGAATAGATGCATTAAAACAAATCTAATGACAGAAGAGATGAAATATGACATTTCAAATTACCTTAGAACAGCTCAGCAATTAAAAAAACAATTTTTGGGGGGGGATTTCAATACTGAAATCTGTCCAGAATAAATTCTGTGTGACCCTCTGGCGCATTCAGGCCTCAGAAGGCTGGACATGCCTACTGTGCAGTGAGCTGAATTATCCCATGCTGTACATGACTAATACTAATAACAGACCTCTGCAGGAATTTGCAGAGCTCCAAGTGGGGTGTAAAATTGTTGAGCGAAGGTGAGGTGGGGCTCCCAGAATAGGGAGACACCATCTTCCTTCCATACCCTTTGTGTGTATTCATGTACCTCTTCAGTCCAATGCACCCCATCTTTTCTCTCTGACTAAGGTGAGATGCTTTTCAGAGTCCAGCAATGAAATATTAACTTTGTGCCACAAGACCCATTTAAAAATTGTCAAGGCAGGTGCAGCATCAATCCCATGAGCCTGTTTGCCATCAACTGGGTACAGAGTCTATGCGTCTACACCTGGGATGGATACAGACTTGGGAACCCCATAAATGCAATTATTTGCTCTTATCGTCTGTCCTTTTGTAAGAGGTAGAAGCCTGTAGCTGTGTAGCTTTAGAGGCTCTGCAGACAAATTTCAGATGTATGGAAACGTCAGGATTTTATTGGGGGTGTCGAATTATTTTAGGATTCTCTGTGTTTTGTTTTAAATGAATGATTTAAACTTTAAATGTAACTCCCTTATCTGAGAAACTAAAATGATTTAAAAGTCCTTTAAAAAGCCTTAAAGGAAAAAGTTTTTACATAACCTCCCCTTGCTTCGAGTTAAAGGTCATTCTATTTTAATCCATGAAAATATGCACTTGGCAAAGGATTTATCCTAAACCACCAGCCAGAAGTTTTATAGTCCCAGTAACATCCAATATAAAACCACAATCATTCCCGTGTAGGCACCAGCAAAGGGACAGGAGTGCAGTTTGTGTCTCCTATTCAAGGTCATGGAGGCTGCAGGCTGGTGTGGCCTTTGGCACAGACTAGGGCAACCCTGAGAGCAGCTCTAACTTGCTCCCCAGACCCAATCACGCCCCGCCCCGCAGGTCTTTGCAGGGGTACAGAATAGCCAGGACGTAAGCCTGTCCCAGCCACACCCCTTCCTTCCTCTGGTCCACCCATGCCTGGCTTCTACTCTGCCCACCCTAGAATGCCCATGCATCCAAGGCTGCTTTGGAGCCAGGTGCACATTACTCAGAGAGCAAACGTCAGAACTTCTCAAACTTGTCTCCTGTGAACACAAAATACCAGGAATATGATAATGAAAGCACAAGCTGTGTCAAGTGAGGAGAGAGTGGAAATTTCCGACACTGAATGCCAATACTTAATGGAAAAATTTGTAAAGCATTAGTCATTAGGACCCTGGTTTCTTATCAGCTCCTGTGGCAGTCTAAAGTCATACCGCTGTGTTTGTGACTGCACAACTGGTTGCCGCAGAGAGAGTTATAAATGTAACAAACAGAGTCCTGGACCTAACTCTGCAGTCCTTAATCAGGCTAAATGCTTACTCAAGGACAAGGCCAGATTCAGTTAGGGTTTAACTATCAGCAGCTCCAATAAAGGCAATAGTGGAAACAGCATAATTCTATCTAAGGATTGAATTTGACCCTGGGAGTTTTGCCTGAGTAGCAGCTACAGGATCAGGCACTATGAGCCAAATTCATTCTCAACAGAAAACTCTACAGGCCACTGGGGAGTTCCGCCAGGGATGAATGTGGTCCTATGACTTTATATGGGAAATAAGCAGCAGGGGATGAACTCAAACAAATACTAATGTTTTCAAAAATTAGTTTTTAAATCATAGTAATAAAGCACATAAAATATATAGAGTATATAACTATACATACACAGATCTGATTCTAAGTGGAATGCTTTCTGAGTTTCCCCATGAGACATCTGGGGCTTTTACAGAGGAGAACGTAATGAGCACTACCAGAAGCCGGTGGTGAAAGTGACTGACTTCTATTGAAGGAGAGCTGAAGTGATTTTCCTCCACAGTCTGTATTCCCAGAGAATAGTGGGAAAGGGGCTAAGGAGGCATTAAAGACGCTTTCAGAGAAAGTATCATCCTGCCTGTGTGTGAGACAAGGGCAACCTTATTTAACACTAAAGATATATTACCAACTTTGACATCTAAATGAAGGTTCTAATAACAGAGAATTAAGTTTCCTGAAAGTAATTTAAGAATAGAGCAGCAGAGTGTAATGATTAGTGAAGGATTACTTTCACCTGAAAGTATTTTGTAGCTTATTTGCTGCTGATTCCTGCCAAAAAAAAAAAAAAGCCATTATGATACATTGCTCAGGCTTATGGGAAACTGCAGATGGCAATCAATACACAAATAAGTTCTTACTGTTTTAAGGTCCTGTTTACACTAACCAGCACATGCTTATAACACAGAATTCATGCAAGACTGGTAAAACCTGCCTAAGGCTTGCATTGTAGACAGGACAGAAAAATGATAAAGTCCAATGCTGAAGCAGTTTAGGAACACTTAAATTATGATACAATCCTGCCTCCGCTGCCTTATTCAACTGTGCTATAACCATGACAAATCCAGCCCCTATATGGGAATTGAATTCCCCAAGGCAGTAGATGTTACAAGTGTAGAGTGGACCGAATGGTGATGGCTACTGCACAAGATAGGAAAAATAAGGGAGCAATTTAAAGGTTAAGTTAACAAAGGGGTCAGTTAGCAGTAACTTGTGTTTGCTTTTTGAATAGCTGGAATAAGAATCAATCAAGCATGAGGCATTAGGCAACGCTTCACTGAAAATGCAACAGAGCCAAATAGTTTCCTTTTTACCTTTATGATTCCTGAAATTTCTGAATCATGATTAACAGAGTACAAACAACTTAGAATAATGTTTAATTATGTTGGGTGACACTAAACAGCACCACTTAGCATAAGTAATTAGAGGGCTAGAAATCAGAGATCGGTAATAGAATCAAAGCTGTTAAATCCTTTTTCCAGCAACAGTGTAATTGTAGAAGATATTTATTGAAATAAGCTCAAGCTTTAGGGCAGAGAAAGGTTTATTCTTACTGAAAAATTTATCATCATATGCTTTTACTAATCCTATTAAGACCAGGAAAAGGATGCTTTTTGCTAGACTATATTTTCACTCTCTTTAGGGAAAAGCAGGGCCATTTTGTGGAGTTCGGCTGCCTACAGACAAAATAAGATGATCTGGGGAAGAGGGACAGAGTTCTGAGCTTAAAGGGCTGAACTGCCTGAGGAAAGCAAGTACTTGGCTGTTGTCAGCTCTAGAGAGGTCTTTTACAAGATGCATGAATACACAAAGTGACTGTAAAGGAAATGTTGGAGAACTCGTTTTAGTGTGTGACATAAGCAAGATAGCATTAAGATAGATATGCCAGAATGCTTTACTGTAACCTGCACCAGTGTTCCTTAAACACTGCCTATATTTTCCCAGGGGGAAGTAGTGTTCTTTTAGGATCAAGATTATACAGATTTTTAAAGAGATATGAATCTATTGATTTAGCTTCATTCGGATAAAATTTTCAAAAACGGGATTTAGGAGCTTAAAAGTTCCATTTTCAAAAGTAACTTGGGCACTTGGGAGCTCGAGTCTCACAGAAAGTCAGCGAGACAAAGGGCTTATCTACATAAACATTTAGTTTGTGGTAAACTGAGGCATGAATCTACCTCACATTAGCTTCCCCCAGTCTGTCTGTGTGGACCCTGCTGGCACATATTAACAGTTCATGCATTAAAGAGCTGTCAGTGTGAGCCAGCAGGATGAATAGTTAGAGCATGGCAGGCTAGTGTAGGTTAGATCCACACCTCCGCTTGCCACAGACTAAATGTTAGTGCAGCTGAGCCCCAAGGTTCCTGAGTGCTCGTCTCTTTTGAAAATGGGACTTTGGTTCCTAACATATTTTTGAAACTGTTACCCATAATATTTTCCTTTGTTGCAAGCACATGAGGGAGGCATGGCTGTGTTGTTTTGAGGCAAGCTGGGTTTTTTTTTGTGAGAAAAAATACAGATTTACTAAAAAGCAGAAATAATTATTCCAAGCAGGTAGTCTTTGTAAATGAACTGAGGAAGAAGGCTGATGTCCACCTCTTGTCCTGGTATACTAGTATGTATCCAACAGGTTCTTCGCCATAGTACTCTCAGAAGTCCTCTATGAAGCCCAAACTGCTACAGTCATACTGAAATATGACTTCTCTTGCTGGGAAGCCAACAGCAGTTTCCCAGTGATGAACTTGGCTCCTACTGCACAAATGATACCGCCAGCTCCTAAAAATGAGGTTTGGGAGATTAGATCAATCACTGTTAGTGCTTTAAAATAGATACACAGTAATGGGTATATTTAAAGTACCTTGACAGAGGACACAGCAAGATAGGTTAGAAAGGCAGACACACAAATTTCTTGCAAATAGTGATTGTTGTGGGCACAAACTGGGAAGCAAAGACCAGCAATAAAACCACCGGGTTGTTCTCACACCCAGGATAGAAAGCAATACACAAGATTAACGGATATAACAGATCCTAGATCCTGCATTCAGTCCTGTATTAATTCTCCCACTATCTCCCTTTAATGTCATTGGACCAATTCCTGGACAGCGGAGAGGCAATCCTCCCTCTTCCATGCCCCTCCACTCCAAGCCGCTATCAGCATCTTGCTAAAACAGACCTGACTGATTCCTTGGGCCTTGTAGAGTGAGATTGTCCTTTCTCCCCATTAGCTTTGGTAACTGGTGGTGGATTGGAAAGCAGCTAATTCATCTGCAGCTGGACATAGGTCAGCAACTGCCGCACCAGGAAGGTATTCTCTCCCATTGACCCAAAATATTTTAACCTTCTAAAACAACTTTCCCTTGGACAGATAACTCTATTCTTTCAGTTTCTTCACTTTATTCACTCTGAGAAAATATTTTGCAAGCACTTGATAATAAAACATTTTTAAACACTGCAGCTGACAGCATTAATTTGCTAAGCACCAAAAATGTAATCAGGGTTGTCCAAGACACAAATGAATACAGTTCCTGCCCCATGGAGTTTGCACCCTAGAAGGCAGACACAGACAAGATAAACACACTAAGAAATGAGGACTTCAGTTCTTTTTGTAAGAAGTCCTCTCTTCCATATGCCTCTCCGGTATAAAGCTAGAGCAGAGAAGACAACTGAAACAGTAAAATTAGTGTCTGTGGGATTTGCATCACGTTGTTCTATGCATATGAAGTAGCATGGAGAAGAGACAAAGCTGGGAACATGTGAAGGAAAGGTGGTGATGATGAGGCTGTCATTGCTGATGGAGCAAAGGAGCTAACAAATGAGATCCAAGAGGTAGGCTGAGGCAGAGCTGTGCAAGGAAATAGGAAGTTTAAAACTGGTGTGGTAGGCAAGAGGGCGCTAGTGATATGGCCTGATAGAGAGTGAGGAACATAAGCTCTGGAGAGACTGTCCAAAGGGGAGTCAAGGAGGCCAGATAAGAGAGAAGTTACAATAATCAAGATGGGAAATTAGCAGGGTGCGAACAAGTGTTCATCATTGGGACGGAAAGGAAGGGTGAGATTTTCAGTGTGTTGTGGTGAAACATGAACCTCTTCCACCTTTATTACCTTACAATAGACACCAAGTATATAAGTGCATTAGAAATAACCAGACCTGCAGGGGTCGCCAACGCGGTGCCCGCCTACTGGCTGCCGGACAAGCAATTGCCGAAATGCCGCCGAGAAGCCGCAACGTCAAGAAGCGTCGCTGTCGAAATGCTGCTGATTTTCGGCGGCATTGTCTCTTGATGACGCTACTTCTCGGCGGCTGCTTGTCGGCAGCCACGGTCTTTGGCGGCTAGTCATCCGGCACCCGCCACATGAAAAGGTTGGGGACCACTGGATTAGAGTATTTGTAAGCCCCACCCTTTTGAAACTATTCTGTCCCCATTATAAGAAAGTTAGAGCTTTCTTAAGAATAGAATTTAGGTACACATTGGATAGATAAGCTATAGAATATAAAACAAAATCTAAATTACTCTTAAAGGCACATAGTACATAGGACTAAAAATACTTATACAGAGAAGTTAACCAAGATGCTTGGGAAATTGGTAGCATCCCCACATTACAAGGAATTTTACTGGAAAATGACAACTGTGTGGGCCTGATCCTGCAACCTATTACTCATGTGAGTGATCCCATACACTTCAAGTAAGACTATTCACATAAGTTTGCAGAACTGGGCCCCAAGGCCTCCTACACAATTGTTCTAAAGCAGATTGATCCCTATGTTGCCTTACCAGTTCTGGCTTTGTGTGTGGTGTAGACCAGTGTTGTTAACCTTTCCAGACTACTATACCCCTTTTAGAAGTCTGATTTGTCTTGTGTACCCCTGCAAGTTTCACCTCGCTTAAAAACTATTTGCATACAAAATCAGATATAAAAATACAAAAGTGTCACAGCTCACTATTACTGAAAAATTGCTGACTTTCTCATTTTAACCATATCATTATAAAATAAATCAATTGGAATGTAAATATTGCACTTACATTTCAGTGTATAGTATATACAGCAGTATAAAACAAGTCATTGTATGACATTTTAGTTTGTACTGACTTCATTAGTGCTTTTTATGTAGCCTGTTTTAAACTAGGTAAATATCTAGGGTGAGTTGCTGTACCCCCTGTAAGATCTCTGAGTACCCATTGGGTATGCATACCCCCTGGTTGAGAATCACTGATAGAGACGTGCATTTTCTGGAATGGCCTGAAATGAAACAACTTCTGGGTTGAGGAATGAGAAATGAGAGAAAACGAACTGTTCGAAGTGGATCCACTTTGGTATGTCTTGGACTGTGTATCATTCACAATGAGTGTTAAACAAAAATGTCTATTTAGAGGTCTACAAATTATGGGCTTATAAAGTATCTCTCATGCTACTGACCAAATCTAGTTCCTCCACAGGTTGCACTCTTAACCAGAAAATCCTCCCGCCACCGAAGCTGTAACGAGATTACACAGATTTTTGGAATGAGACAGTTTATATTCTTTGACATATAGTTATGTGATGCTGTATGCAGTTACCAACAGCTGCTATGGTCCACTGATGAGCATCTGTGTACTCTTCCATAGCTGATTTACAATAATTTCAAGTTCAGTTGAAATCAGTGGATTATCAAGACATATCAGATATCTTTTATTAATTAGTTAGCTGCTTCCAAATGTAAGACAGAACAACACAGAGGGTAAAAACAAATTCATGTGAGGACAGAATACATTTTATTAGAAAGAGTAACAAAGTGCTTTCAATAAGACTTATTTCACACAAATATCTCCAGGAAACAATATTTTCCCCCTTATGGACAATTTCAATGTGTCAATTTTCAGTACAAATGAGGTTCCATCAGCTTTGCTGTATGTGCACTTTCTTTACTGTACATAGTAATTCAAACATTTATGCATCTGATGGCTCTTTTGGAGACACAGTAATAGTTCTACAGAAATCTTATTATCCACCCCAAAGACCAATAAGGATTACATAGTTCGTTGTTTAATGTGAATTTGGATGATGTAATTCTTTTATACAATCATTGTATACATACATAAGACACATGTAATTAGAACTAGAGAGAGAGACTGACAGTCGCCTGTATTAATGTTAATGATTTTCAGCATGAGATTATACCCCTTGTATCCAAATAAAATTTACATTCACCCTTTATTTCTGGAATAGAGACTCTATTCTGCATTCTTTGCAAATCCAATATGCCAGTGACTTCAAACTGTAGTTGGGGGTGTGGGGAAGAAGCAATGCAAAGGCTGCTCATACATTTTCTCACAATATTTGACACAATTTTACAATGCATTTTCTTTCGATACACATCTTTGTTCAGTTATGTTGCTCATTTAAAACCATTTTCAATATAATGGAACATCTTCCCCAGTTCACTCTCAAAAAAACAACCAAAAAACAAAAAAGCAAACAAAAATGGGGCAGGGAAATGCTGTAACACATAGATATTAAAGGCAGACAATCCTGTATAAAATACTTTTATGTGGCGGACTATAAGTAATGAAGTAGGGGACATTACTGAAAGGTGGGGGCGGGGGGGGGGGGAAGGAGAGGTGTCCAAATGATAGATCTTTTTTAGAAAAAGAAAAGATTTGTCCATCTCCATCTATTCCATGTTAAGTTTCAATAATAATAGAGGGGGCTTTTTTTTTTAGGGTCATAAAAATGCAGATATGAAAGACTTGTAGGGCAGGATATAGTCTCCTTCAAAAGAGGACAGACATAGCTGACACTCCTTTTGAACTAAAATCAAGTGTAAAGAACCACCTTTTATGAACGTGTGTTGCATGACATGTGTGGGAAGGAGAGCTGCTGGGATGATTATATGCATATTGTTTGTGATCATTAACATGCACAGACAAAAAATTATATGCTGGTAACTACATTGTCTTCCCTACTTCATTTCTGTACCTGTGACCAACCAGCCCCACTTTTGGCCGGCTATTCCTTAAGCTCCAAAACAATGGAAGGTTTCCTTTCACTTCAGGAAATCAGTGTATTCTGCATCACAACACATAGTCTGTGCGCACAGAATCTCAGCAACAGGGAATATCCTACAAGACACTGACCTTTTCCCTACAAGGCAAAAGAGTTCGGATGAAATGCTCTGAACAATAACTTGTATGGGAGGAAAAAGGCATGATGTAAAAAATAAGCAAATTTTGTAATATAGGCCATATATACATATATAGATACACACACAAAACCACAACTACATATAAACAATACACAAACATACTATGTATATTATATTATTTTTAAAAGGATTTTTAAATGTTTATCCTTAGGCACTTGTGGGTTGAGAGTTCCCACCATTAAATTCAAATTATATTCATACTTAGCTTTTGGAAATCCAGATTTCCAGCAATGTTTGAGTAAAGCAGATCTATGAATATTTTATGATGTACAGTATTCCCATGTCATCAATATACTTCTTTTACTCATGTACAGACTGATACATTCTTTAACCTGGGCCCAGTCGACACACACTTACAGCTGAGCTTAACTTCCCACATGCAAACAGTCTTATTAATGCAGTGGGGCTACTTATAGAGGTAAACATATGCATAAAGTGTTGCAGGATTGGGGCCTTAGTGCTTAAAACCACAAATAGTAATTGATTTCAATGGTTGTAAAAGTTTACAAGGAATGGCTCCATAGGTCCTGCAACTGGATCAGTGTGTGCAGGGCATGGAATCCAACGGGACTCCATGTGGACATAATCTTCCTAAGGACCAATTAACTAAAGGATTGGAGCAATAGGGATTGTTTTCATTGAGGTCAATGGTCTTTGGATGAAGCCCATAGTTTGTAAATAACTAAAAACTACACATGGTTAAGGTTTGTCAATCCAAAAATGTTTGCAAAAACAAAAGTAAAGTAGTATTTCAAAAGCTTACATCTTAAATTGTAAACTGTTTTATTTAAACAAATGTAAATGAAAAAATGCAGAGGGATAGAGTCAATTCTGTATTTAAAATAAAGACCGTGTTTTGAGAGGTGCTAAATTGTTAGCCTATTTAGTGAAGATTTTCTCTGGCCTTTCCTCTGCTCAGCACTTCTCAGGATTGGATCCTACATTACCAAAGTGGATTTTACAGATTTATTTTAAAACTCTATACAATATTATATCTTATTCTCTGATATTTCAGCTTACAACATGCTTCTCTAGATGATATATTTCCAAATCAAACACCAAAAATTCCTGAGTAAGACTGCAGTTGAAATCTATCTATACATATCTTACTTGTGTAATTGCTCATATCTTACATTAGGCCTGCGTGTGCTGTGCTTGTACAAGCAAAGCTTGCATCTAAGTTAGGATTGGGCAGTAAACCAGAATCAGCAAAGTTGATAGATCCACATTTAACACTAGTAATACAACCCTCCTGCATATGAGGTGTAGAGGGGCTGTGGTCAGTATTCAAGCACATTAGCTGGAATAGTAGTTGCAGAGGTGGGGATTTATATTTATTTGCGAAGTCCCCAAATTATTTTCTCTAAGATAACTGTTTTGATATTTAAAAAAGGCATTAATGGCCAGAGCCAAGCACACAAGTAGATCTAGGCCTGGTCTACACTAGAAACTTTGCCAGCACAGCAAAGTCAGTTACAGGTGTGATTTTTTTCCTGACAATTATATATTGGCAAAAGCTTTAGGGTAGATACAATTATATTGGCAACAGTACTTTTTTGCCAGTATAAGCTAAGCCTACCGGAGGAGGATTTGCTGGTATAGTTATGTCGGTATAGCTAGACTGACAACCCTTTTCTAACGTAGGCCTGGCATTACAGTCACAAACTAATGTGTGCGCGCACACGTGCAAGCCAGTGGAGGAACACATTTTTAGTTAGTTACTTCAGATTTATGGGTCCAGCTTTCAAAAAGCTTACAGGAGAACAATGTAAAAATAACAGAACATAAATCTCACGGTTATGTGTACTCTTCAAAACAAAGAGGAATTTCCATTACACAAGAAAGTGTCATTTCAAAATATCAGCCACATCACAGAAGAGAGGCTGACTCCATTCAGATAGAGGTGTTTTTATACTACATTTAATAAAAAGACAACCTAGGACTGAGCCCTCAGGGTTGCAATGGCTCATGTTCCCTCACTCACGGCTTGTCCACACCGAGTTAGTATTTGAAACGCTAGTGTGCAGTAGATCACACCCTGGCTTGCTGTGTACTAACTTACTGTGTGGACAAGCCCTTCAAAAGAGTAAGTTACTTTGGACAGTACCATTAGTAGGAGCATATCCTTTTCATTCCCTTTGGAGATGTGCTAGGACTGTTGACTTCCTTTAAAATCCATATTTAATTTTAGTCTGAATGTAGAGACCTCACAAATGTAATGTGTAGCATGATTTGGAAAATCGCAGCTTTTAATATGCCAGTGTTGTTTGTTTAAACATATAAATCCATTGAAAGGTGACATGGTTGTAATATGTTATCCAACAGGCCACTCACCATATTCTACTGTTGCACGTAAATAATGACAAGGCACAGAACAGCAACTAGTCCAAGAGCTTGCAAGCCAAGGAACCAAAGCATAACCCAGAAGAATATGATTATTACAGGTTCCACAATCCGTTCTCCAAAATACATCCTCGTGAAGCCTATGCTGATAAGGCTTTTGTTTAGTTCACCAAAGAGAGTCCCCATCTTTTTATAGTCATCTATAACAGGCTCCACAGTGTGGTTTCTTTGTTCTTGCTGGACCTGCAGACAGAAAACAAAAGCAGGAAATAGTTTGGACGTGTGTGTGTGTGTGTGTGTGTATATATATATATAGATAGATAGATAGATACTTATTATTACGTGTTCTTAC